CAGATGCAATTTGGAAGGCATACAAAAGGACTGTTCAACCAAGTATGAAGTCCCCCCATGTCTGGCCCAAAATATTTTGATGTCCAGTGTGAAAGGCAAGATGGCACAATCTCCATACCAAATAAAGAAAGTGGCTGAATTGGTAACCAAATATTGCATGAACCATGGCAATGCAGCAGCACTAAAATAAAAACAAGCCAGTCTAGGGAGCACAGGGCAGGCCATAGTTATTTAAAGTATTTTAGATCAGCCCTCCACTCACATGTGTCTAAGGCTGCATCCACACTGCAGAAATAATCTGGTTCGACTGCCATGACTCCATGTTATGGAATTCTGGGAATTGTAGTTTGTTGTGGCCCCAGAACAGAGCTCTACTCTGCCTAACCCCTTTGCAGATTGGAAACCATTCTGTTTCTCTGTATTCAGTTCTGACAGCAGCCTTTTGTCCCAAGTACAGATTACACATCAGGACAATCAAATATAGTGGTATTCTCATTTTGTTGAGAGCATTTCATAGCTTTCCATGATCTGTGCAGTCAAAGGCTTTCCTGTAGTCAATAAAGCACATGCAGATTTTCTTTTGGAATTCCATGGTGTGCTCCATTATTCACTATATGCCTGCCCTGTGATCAGCAAATCAACAAGCTCCTATTGCTCTGGGTGATATTATTTGGTTTGCCAGCATAAATATGAGAATCAAGTTGGCTTCTGGATTTCGTGCAGGATCTGGTCCTTGTATCTGTATCTATGATGTGGCCTGTCATACTGAGTGTTTTAGGTTGTATAGTTATCCATATGCATGCCACAGAACAGAGTTTTGAAATAGAGTTCCTGTTATTAATATATCAAGATGTGACGTATAGTATTTTGTTGTTGGGATATTATTTCATATTGCTTTTAAATCATTTGAGCTGTCTTGGAGCCTTGTTGAGAGTTAGGATAATTTTTTTTTTAAAGGAAATATTCTTTGAACAGGTATGGAAATCCATCCTTCCAAAATATGTTTGGAGAGTCATGGAAAGCAGGTACTTCTTACTGGTTGAAGGTAGCATGCTGGACCTATTTAATTATTTTATCAAGTTCCTGATAAATTAAAACATATTAATATTTTCAATAGATTGAACACAGAATAAAATTGTTCAACATGTAATTATCCTTGAGTGCCATCTGCTGGCCAACTGGAAATGTTTTGTGCAACATGAATGTTTAGTGCAACCTTGTGGAAATGTTTAGTTCAGCATGGATGTTGTACAGCAGATGCCTGGCAAATTTCCAATGAACCACTTACTGCTGTATTTATTTATCATTTAATTTAAAGGCATATGTTCCACCTTATTTCTTTTTAAAAAAGGAACTCAGGGAGGTAACAACAACAGGAACGCACTTAAGCCAGAATCGACTGGAATCCAGATGCCAGACCTGTGCTCAAAATAGTCCTCTTAAGGTGCTCTTTGGCTCAGACTCATTTTGGTGCTGGAGCACAGAAGCAGTAGAGCTTAAGCCCTATCCTCCTCCTCTGCTCAGAGACCAGTTGTGCACTCCAGATCATTCCCATGATCTTCTTTAGGAAAGAAAAAGGAATGGATAAAAGAAAACAAAGCCTACTAAAACTATATCCCAGCTTCTAAAAACTGTTTTAGGGGGCTTCTTGCACATCTTGTAAAAGCAAATAAAGTAAAATGGACCAGTGTTTCCCTGAAAATAAGACACTGTCTTATATTTATTTGGCCTCAAGAAGATGCACTATGGCTTATTTTCAGGGGATGGCTTATTTTCAGGCGTCAGGGCTTCCTCTTGGCGCAGCATGCATACACACTGCGCCAAAAGGGCGCAAAAGAGCTGCAGCTGCAGCTCAAAGGCCAGCTCTTTGCCGCCCCTGAAAGAGCGGCTCAAAGGGCTGCTCCTTTCAGAGGCTGCAAAGACGATGATCGTGGCCGCAACCCTTTGAGCTGCAGCTGCGGCTCTTTTCTGGACTACCCCTGGGAGTGGTGGATCCACTGCTCCCAGGCGCAGCCCAGAAAAGAGCTGCTGCTGTGGCTCAAAGGCCACCTCTTTGCCGCCCCTAAAAAGACAAGAATAATTGCCGCAACCCTTTGAGCCGCAGCTATGGCTCTTTTCTGGGCAGCCCAGAAAAGAGCTGCAGCTGCAGCTCAAAGGCCAGCTCTTTGCTGCCCCCGAATGACCCTATGCCTTATTTTTGGGGTTTGTCTTAGGACGTTATCACACGGGGGGAATCTGTAGGTTATCCCACACAAATCACAAAAAAAACCTGCACTTGCGCCTGACGATTTCACATGACGTTGCACAGAAAGTGGATAGAAAGTGGTATTATCCAAGGAGTTTAG